GGGGATAGAGGATCTCTCTTTGTCTGTTTCTCTCTCTAATAAAAGAAAATTAGCATTAAAGAACACCAAGCAAATTGATCCCCAATACAGTAAATTGGAATAAAAATGGATGAAAACCTGAGTGACCGTCTCATACGTAATAAGTCCCATAATGTCTCCTTGAGAAAACACCAGGACATATGCAGTGTAAGTAACTGCATTACAAATTCTAACCCTCAGGAACAATGACAAAAACAGCCACCATCGAGGAGAACCCTTGTTCCGAGCTCCTGACAAGTGCTATACACCCTCATCCTACTCACAGTAACTCAGCCCCTTGTTGCAGACGAAGACACTGAGGGCCCGCTGTCTGCCTCAGGTTACACAGACACCACAATTCATTCTTAAACTCATCCCTTTACCCACTATGCCCGCCCGTCCTGTAGAACACACGCAAGAGACCCCCAAGCTTCCTTCAAATCCTCTTGGGAGGAAGGACTGAGCGTGAAAAATGCTGCATAAAATCCCTCCCTCTGCGGGCGCCAAGGTCAGCTCTGCAATGGTTCAGGTATCTGAATTCAGTTGTTACCAGAAAGCAGAAGCTCTTTTTATGAGTCCCCAACAGAACAACTGGACAATGCAACTTTGCTCAGAGCCGCAAGAAAACAAAGTTCTTCTCGGTTCCCGACACAGTCGTTTCTTTGTGGCACAACACAGAAGCACAGATGCTTTGGTCAAAAACCACAGGAGAAACAGGATGTGCGGTGTGGTGAGGCTGTAGCTGGGAAAGGGCACCGCTGCCCCGCAGACAGGCGGCTGGCAGAGTGCCGACACCACCACCTCCCAGACGAGGGGCCAAGGGCAGGCTTTCACCGAGCAACTCACGAGCTCATCTGGAGGTGAAGATCAGAGACAGAGGGTGGCGGCACGGGGAGGAGGGGGGGCTGGGGGAGGCATGTCCGGCAGGGAAGGGGCACAGCTCACGGCTCAGGAGGCAGGAGCCCCTTCCATGTGGGCACAAAGGCCCCAGGGCAAACTCCCTGACTACAGGAGAAGATGAGTCCAGGGATACACTTTTTTTTTTTTCCTTTTATTTGAACTACAGACAGAGAGAGAGAGAGAGAGAGAGGGAGGGAGGGAGGGTGAGAGAATATCTTCCATCCACTGGTTCATTCCCCAGATGGCCACAATTGGGGCTGGGCTGGGCTAGGCTGAAGCCAGGAGCTTCACCCAGGTCTCCCACGTGGGTGCAGGGGTCCAAAGACCTGGGCCATCCTCCATTGCTTTCCCGTGTGCATCAGCAGGGAGCTAGTTCTTCAGACTGGAGCAGCCAGGACTTGAACCAGTGCCCATATGGAATGCTGGCACTGCAGACAGTGGCTTAACCCACTGGGCCACAGCATCGGCCCCCCAGGGATGTACTAAGAATCCAAGCAGGGTGGGCATGCAGGTGTCGAACCAGACATGAAGGGCCCTGAACGCCACTTCCAACAGCCACATTCTCCAACCATGCAAACACCCAAGGCTCTCAGCAAGCACATAGCCTGCTGGGTCTAGTCCTGAGCCACCCGCTTGCTCATGGATAGCAGGGCCTTTTGGTTGCCAACGACTGAACCCTTGTCCAGGAGGAGGGATTCAACGAGCTCTGTCCAGGACAGTTGTCAATCCTTCCTGTCTAGTGTTAACAGAATGTAACAGTCACACATGCTCTGGTGCACAGCACCAGAGCTGAATTCTTACAGGGGGGGAACACTTAAAAATAACTTAATTCCCTGACAAGTTTCCTTGTCAAAATCCTTGGGTTATAAAACCCAAGAGATAAGTGAATATGCTTACAAAACTCCTGGAAAGCCGGTGCCGCGGCTCACTAGGCTAATCCTCCGCCTTGCGGCGCCAGCACACCGGGTTCTAGTCCAGGTCGGGGCGCCGGATTCTGTCCAGGTTGCCCCTCTTCCAGGCCAGCTCTCTGCTGTGGCCAGGGAGTGCAGTGGAGGATGGCCCAAGTGCTTGGGCCCTGCACCCCATGGGAGACCAGGAGAAGTACCTGGCTCCTGCCTTCAGATCAGCGCGGTGCACCGGCTGCAGTGCGCTGGCTGCGGTGGCCATTGGAGGGTGAACCAACGGCAAAGGAAGACCTTTCTCTCTGTCTGTCTGTCTGTCTGTCTCTCTCTCTCTCTCACTGTCCACTCTGCCTGTCAAAAAAAAAAAAAAAAAAAAACTCCTGGAAAAAGAAAATCCCATCCCTGCCTGGGCTCAGATGACAGGGTAATAAAGAAAACCCTGTACACACAGAGACCCCAGTCGCCCCTGAACGCGAGTAACTCTGTGAACGGGGAGCCACGAGCCCTCAAGTTACTACTGGGCATTTCAGGAGATGGTGTGCACACTTGTGGCTTTGCGGTCTCCAACTGTCCTGGGGGCCCACGGAGGCCTGAGTATCAGGAACTATGTGGTCATAGTGCATGGCCTGCCTCAGCAGAATCCATCATGGGGGACTGAGCCCACCAGAGACGCACTCCCTGCTCAATTCTCACCGCTGCAGCTGCTCCCACCCTTTTAGGCCCCGCCCAAGGATGGGCAATATTCTCCAAATGGTTTAATTTGTGATTCAGAAGGGGAGGGGGGAAAAATAAGGAAAACTTTACGTTCACTTCTCTTCGATGCCAGTGGGGAAGCACTTGGCGATGTAACATATGCTGTTAGTCCTTCTAGCCTGTCACATCTGTGGATCTTGGCCATATTTTTCTCAAAAAACCCAGCCCTACATTTGGATTTGGGCCCACAGTAGCTGCTCACCCACTTGTACAAAATGACAGTGGGGTGTTAAGAGGAAGCTCAGTCTCCTAGACAGAGATGCTATCTCGCTGAGGCAGGAAATCCACTGCTGCTCGTGTCTAGCATAATTAAGAGACTAGCCCAAGACGGTAGCCAAGCAGGCACAAACCCAAAAAGCACAAAACAAATAGGGTGTTCAGATCTGGCCCAACACAGTGAAAGCTGGAATATGCAGGGTCGAGGGAGCCCCAGTATGGGAAGCAGTGTGGCCACAGATGGAACAGGGCAGTGTGGAGGAACACAACTCTCCCACAGAATGCCATCCCATCACCCATCCCTCCGACATGTATCTCACACACAAGGCAGGAGCTCCAAGCTCAGTTCTCAGCCATCTCTTGGATTTAGAATCAGCCCCAGGACAAATCCGGTCTGGATTCTTCTGGATTGCATCCTTGCTAGGTCTGGTATGTGTCATTACGTGGTCACATTCCTTTGCTTCTCTGTGAGAGGCCAGAGCTGCTGGACACCAGCCTAACGCTGGCGACCGATAAAACAGGGACAGCTCCAACAGAGCAGAGGTCACAGAAACATCAAGAACAAGACCCAGCAGCTGCCTTCGCTGGGGCAGTGCAGTCCAACTGAGACCTTGAACACAGGCCCCAGGCAGACAGGGCTGCCTGCTCTCCCAGGAATGCTGCCAGACAGGACTATTTAGGGTGACAAGTCAGGGCTGCAAGTGCATAGCAAGTGTCCCTTGGGGATATACATCTACGCAACTTCCGAGCCCCAAATGCTTCCCTGCCACTAGCGCCACTCAGAAGCACCTGCTCCTGCTCTCCCCTCCTTCTCCTCCTCCAAGGCTGTAGGGCTCTGTGTCCTCTCGCTCAGATGGCACCTGCCCAGCCAGCCACACAACAAAGTGATCTTCCCAACACTGATGTCTCCAAAGGGTTCCCCAACCCCGCACTCCCCCACGGCCAAACCCTTTGGCATTGTGGCTCTCACGTCTGGCCTCCATCCACTCCACAGCCTTACCTCCCGCTGCCCCCCAAACCCCAAAGCTCCCCTTCAAAGTGCCCTGTGGGCAACCTGGGCGTGGCTGAGACCCTCCCTCCCAAAGAATGGCCTCACACCACCGGATAAACTGGTTAAGGCACAAACCACTAAGGGAGAGCGAGCCCTGGGGTCCTCTCCCCTGTAAAACCCATAAACTTATAAAGTCCCAGTCTGCGTGCATCCTCACAGCGCAGCCCCCTCCCAGGGCTGCCACTCCCTGCTCCCCAGGCGTCCTGAACCCTCACTGGGGTCGGACCACCAGGGGCCTCGCCCAGTGCCATCTGAGGGCAGCCCAGAGGGGTGCTGCCTGGCTTGAGAGTTCCTTGTCAACGAGAAAACAGACCGAGTCCAGGGCACCTCTGGGTGCATAGGAGCATCCCTGCATTACTCTCTGCCGCTGGGCACCGGGGGACCATCCCCACCCGCCGCCGCCGCCGCAGGCAAGCAGAGAGCCCCCCCACCCCCACCCGCCGGCACCTTCCTCACCTCAGCGACCACCACAGCCCCGCGCCAGGGTCCGCAACGCACCCCAGGAAACCCCGGCGGCTTCGAGCGCGAGCCACGCCCACAGACCCCACGCCGGAGCACCGGGGCCCCGCACCCGCTCCTCCGCCCTCCAGTCCCAGAGCCGCGGGGGTCAGAGGGCGCATTCACGACGCCGGCCCCCATCCTGCTGCACACGAGGGGCAGGGTGAGCAGAGCGCGCTCCACGGCGGCCGGGACCGGCAGAGGGGAACACAGGGTGGGTGGGGCGGCCCACACCGCGAGGGGCCTGGGGCGCCGGCCGCGCGGAAAGGCGAGAACCCCTCCCCCTCCGCGCTCCGGGGCCCCGCCCGGCCTCCAGGCCCCGAGCGCGGCAGTCCCAAGAGAAGGGAGGCACGGGGAGGACACTTACTTAAAAGCTACATAGTTTCACTATCTATTTTCTCTGTCTCTCCATCTGGAAATGTGGTTTGCAGCTCCTGCGCGCTGCCAGCTCCACAGCCAACCCTACTCCACGTCGGCGGACCTCGCCCAGGATCCAGCCAGCCCAATGAGCGGCCGACTCTGTCCAGAGTGACGTGAGCGCAGAGCAATCACTGAGTCCGGCCCCACCGGGGGCGGGGCTCAGGCCGTTCGCCGCGCTTCCTACTCCGGCTGGCCCCGCCCAGCGCCACCAACTGCGCGTGTCCAGACCCGGAGGGGCGGGGCCGAGAGCCAGGTTGGCCCTAGAGATGGGGTCCGAGCTCGGTCGCCTAAAGGGAGTTGGACGGCTACCGACAGGGGAGCCCGGCTGGGAAGGGGCGGGACTGCAGGGCGCCCCTCTCTGCTCCCCCCTGGACAACGGAGGAGCCCAGTCCTACTGAGCACACTTCTCCCAGTTGCCCGCGGGGTCCAGGAGTCAGTGTTCCCGTGTTCGGATACCCTCGTTGGCTGGGACTGCGCGCGAGGGCCTCGGCTTCCTCATCCCTAGAATGGGGCCAGGTCGGATGTGCCGATCGTTCCCTTGGCAGGACTCCAATGCATGCGGCGGAGAGACAGATGGGCGGCCCCACGTGACCGCCCCCGCGAGGCCCCGCCCGCCCTGGGTGCGAGGGTGGAGGTGCCCGGCGGGGTGGGCGGGTCCTTGGCCACGGCTCCGGAGAGGCGCGCGGCTCCGCGGCCCGCTAGCCTCGGGGCTGGGGCCGACGAACATGGGGGCTGCAGCCCTGGCGTCGCGGGCGGCCACGGTGCAGGCGAAAGCCCTGCGGAGACCCCGCGCGTGACCCTGTGCGCGTCTGGAGAGGATGCCCGAGACGGCGCGCGGCAGCTGACGGGGCGCACGTCGCGGGTCCGAGTGGGTGACGACAATAGCGCGCGGGGAACGGGCCATGAGGAGCGCTCTGGCCGCCCGGCCCAAGGCTGGCATCAGGGCTGGCAGCGTCCTGCGGCGCTGAGGGTGTGAGGCAGCGAGGGGCGTGCGTGGCGCCATGGCGCGGGAGGAGTGCAAGGCGCTGCTGGATGCGCTCAACAGGACGACCGCGTGCTACCACCACCTGGTACTGACCGTCGGCGGCTCGGCGGACTCGCAGAACCTGCGCGAGGAATTGCAGAAGACGCGGCAGAAGGCGCACGAGCTGGCCGTGGCCACCGGCGCGCGGCTGACGGGCGCGCTGCGTGACAAGAGCCTGGCCGCCGAGGAGCGCGCCGAGTTCGAGCGCCTCTGGGTGGCCTTCTCCGGCTGCCTGGACCTGCTGGAAGCCGACATGCAGCGCGCGCTGGCGCTGGGCTCCGCCTTCCCGCTGAACGCGCCGCGACGACCGCTGGTGCGCACCGGGGTGGCGGGCGCCGCGTCGGCTGTGGCGGCGCGCGCCCTGAGCGCCCGCAGCCTGCGGCACGAGGCGGAGCACGACTTCGACGTCGCCGACCTGCAGGAGCTGGAGCGCGAGGTCCTTCAGGTGGGCGAGATGATCCAAGACATGGAGATGAAAGTCAACGTGCCCCGCTGGACAGTGCAGGCCCGGCAGGCGGCGGGCGCTGAGCTCCTGTCCGGCGCCAGCGCCGGCGCTTCTTCGGCCGGCGGCATGTCAGTGGAGGAGCGCTCCGGACCCTGCGACCCGAGCAAGGCCCTGGCTGCCACCCTATTCAGCGCAGTGCTGCTAGCAGCCGTCGCCCTAGCCGTGTGCGTGGCGAAGCTGAGCTGACCCACACCAGTCTGCTGCCCCGCGTTCTCCCCGGAGACACGACTACGGAAGGGCCGGGGGTCCCGCCTGATCAAGGGGAGAGGTTGTGAGACCCGAGTGTGCGTGTGTACACGCGCGTTTCAAGCACGCGTCTGCCTGGGTGCGACATGGCCTGGGAGGAGTTAACTTGGCGCGGGCCGCCGGAGCATTAAAGTCTGCGGGAGATTTAGACCCTATTAATAGAAACGGTCGCCAGTCGCCGTCCCAGATCCTTCCGAGTTAATGGGTTAATACGAGTGCCGCTGGGCGTCTTTACGCGGTGCCCAGGTTCGGTGCCCCCCGCCCTGCCAGCGTGTCCCACGCTCCGCGAGGGACAGTTTGGGGAAGGCGCTGAGATGGAGGGAAGCTTGGCGGGGGAGGGAGCTGTTTTGCTCCGTGAGAGTGGTTGCTGTGTTGCCCGGACAAGAAACAAATCGCCATGAGATTTTGTTGTTGTTATTATTACCTTAATCCTTTGGGGCCTAAACTTCGGAGAGTGCAAGCAGTAGGAGTTTGCGCAAAGTGCTTCCTCTAACCGCGCGCTATTGCGCTTCTTGGCAAGAGCTTATCCGTTATGCACTCAAAGCAGGTGGAAGATGTTTGTTCCTGGAAACCAAGCAGCCCAAGACCCACCGCGTTACACGTGCGTGCAGGAGCGAGCTCGCCCCCCCCCCCCACCAGCCAGCCCAGGATCAGAGGCTTTGGCAAAGCCCACGCGTGTTTAAAACGCACTTTCTCCTTCGCAGGGGCTTGTTTTTTTTTGTTCCACGGCTCGCCCCATGTGTTTGATCCTCCTTCGGAGGGGCCCTGGGGAATCCTCTTTGAAGCACTTAATCCTGTCTATCTCCCGGAATTTGCTTGCTGGCCAGCAGGAGAGCCAGCTTTGCAGGGAGCTGCTCAGCTCCCTGCCCACCCCCCACCCCCGCAGGGGGTCATGTGGCATTACTGGCCCACAGAGGTTTTGAGCCACTCAGCTCTGGGACTGAGAATGTAGCAGCTTTACTGGGAATTTAAGAAGCTTTTTATGAATAGTCATATTAAGACAAGGGCAGAGCCAGCTCACTTACTGTCAAAGGTGTTTTTAATAAAAGACATTGGGCCACGCATTAATCGTGCCAATGAGTCAAACACAGCACCTTTACGAATACCAGTGTACTCGTGTTATTAAATATATGAATGCCCTGTTTACAATCTACCTTCTGGAAGTCAGAGGTGAAAGCATACACTGGGACCACAGGCACAGACGACAGAATAGTTAAGTGTCCCTACTTCTTTGGATTAATGAATGAGGCAACGTGGAAAGCCTCAGGTGGGGAGTAGCCAGAGCAGCACTGCCATTTTACAGCTGGGGGGAAGTGGGACAGAGAACACGGATGCCCGTGACTTTCAAAGGTGATTTGGAATAAAACCCAGAGACTTTGGTTTGGCTGAAAACTGATAAGGATTATTATTATTTTATTATTTAACCCAGGTGTGAGGAAAGGGATTAAAAGGGGGAACTGGCAGTTTTTCACAAGGGTGGCAGGGCCAAGGCCAGTGGCAGCAGGGGTGCTGTCTGGGTGCCCCAGCCTGAGCACCTCTCCCCACCGCCACCCCATCCCACCCCACGCCTGCTCAGCTTACAGACTCCAGGACTTCAAACAAGAAAAGCTCGGGTTGTTTTCATGCATCTCTGATCAGGCTTTTAAAAGACTCATGAGGTCTTAAGCAGACTAAATATTTTATAGCAATAACTAAAATAAGAAGCTCTTCCTGCCTCGCCCAGTTTGAGGGTGGGGGATCTGAACAGGGGCCACACTGCCAGGTCCTAGGCACCTGCAAGCCCCGAATGCCTTTGGAGAGACACAGAAACCTCCTGAACTCCTGTTCCCACGCACAACACAACCAGCAGTCTGTTCATCCTTCCCCAGGGTCTCTCTTAGGTAACAGGCTGGGATATTCTGTGACCCAGTATTGGGAAATAGGCCCAAAGGCATAGCCCAAAAGGTGTTCTGTTGTTCCTGACTGTAACCCGTTCTTGTCAGGTGTTTTGGTTCATGAAGAAAAATTGTCCCACAGAATTTATTAAGGACTCAGCCCATCAGTGTTGCATAATCCACCTGGGACAGACAGGTTTCTCTCCTGTCGCTCTTGGCACCCCCTTGGCAGATCTGTAGGTATTTACCTACAATCAGATGTGGACCTGACTCTGAGGGTCCTCCTTTCCTGAAATTAGTGATGAAAAGTTAGCAACATAGCTGGATTACAATAAACATTCATACTGCGGCCCTGCTGACCCAAACGACTCTTTGACTTTGAAAATGGTAAGCACTAGGAATATCAGGCAGTGTCTAGAGTCACGCTGTTGCCTGATAGAACTTCTGCTATGTAACAAAAGAAAAATCACTTTCTGCCTTGTGTAGTAGACTGCTTTCCACCTAGTGTCTCTGTTCTGGTTTCTACATAGAACTCTAGAGATTGCTTCCTGATAGACGACTGATTCAACTGGGATGTTTGACAGCAAAGTTGTTAATCTTCTGTAAAGATTTGGCATGGTCTTATGCCGTGATACAAGGGATAGGGCAAAGCATTCCATATGCAAAGACAAGAATTGGAATATCAAGGCACTGATTATCATGGGAAGATAATAGTTTACAAGAATGAGTTATGGATATTGGTAACATAGTATTTGTAGGAGGGGAAAAAAGGCTAGCAAATTTTTTCGTGTGTTTTTACAATTTATGTTTTGAAATGCCACAAGGGAACAATGTCTTTGGTAAATAATATCAGAGCATAAATATCATGATTTAACTTAAGGTTTACAGTAAGCTACATAAAGATGTGTGATGGTGAATGACGAGAAAGAGATGTGTGATGCTGAGTGACTTACAGGTGTTTTTGGCTGTGGTGGTGTGAGGACCCAATAATGTTGCATTTCCTTTCCAGTGTGCTCAATTGGTACATCTTTAGCTATTCCGTTCCTTTCCTCTGTTTTGTGATGAATGCTTTGTAAGGATGAGAACCCCAAACTGTGGGCCTGTGTGTGTGGGCCCGAGAAGTAAAGTGTTGTAGGACTCCCCTCCGTTCCTTTGGGGGTGCTCCTCCCACGAGGCCTGGCCGGCAGTGATGTGCAGGGGCCTCCGCCTCTCTCTCCAAGTACCTCAGCAGGTCATGGACCTCCCTGTGCCTCGAACCCCTCATCCGTGCAATGGGGGTCCTGACTGGTGAACTCAAAGATCCCTTTTGGAGCTGAAAACATTAACTAGAATATAGTTCAACAACAGCAACAACAAAAGAGTTATTCTGTTTGTTGGCTTGGTTCCGGATTCTTTTTGTAAGTTTGTTCATTGGTTTTGGTGCATATTGGAATACAGTTTTACAGTTTAGCCATGATCATCATTTTGGTCAAAAATTAGTACAAAATTCTTTAACATTATGTAATTTTAAAAATCGGCATTGACTACGCTTACTTGATTTTAGTGCACACCAGAATTAGCGAACAGATTTCTAAAAATTCAACTGTGTGTAAATGCTGCTTATTTATAGGACTTAGATTAGGAATTTAAATTCAGAATGTGAAGTCGGAGTTCTGTTTTGCTTAGCAGTCAGGCCACCTGAATGGATTCTGAGAAGGTACAGATATAAAATCCATGGGCAGGCATTGTGGTTTAGTGGGCCAGGCTGCCTCCTGGGGTGCTGGCATTCCCTGTGAGTCCCAGCTACTTCACTTCCTATCCAGCTCCTACTGATGGGCCTGGGAAAGCAGAAGAAGATGGCCCAAGGACTTGGGCCCCAGGACCCATGTGGGAGACCCAGATGAAGCTCCTGGCTCCTGGCTTCAGCCTGGCCCAGCCCTGGCCATTGCAGCCATTTGAATGGAAACTGCCTCTCTCTCTCTCTCTCTCTCTCTCTCTCTCTCTCTCTCTCTCTGTCTCTCCCTCTCCCCCTCCCCCTCTCTCCCCCCTCCCTCTCCCTCTCCCTTTCCCTCCCTCTCCCCTTGTGTGTGTTTCTCTCCCTCTCTATATATAACTCTGCCTTTCAAATAAATAATAAAAATTTTTTGAAAGATACAACACCCCATCGTTAGTCCTGGAGGTGACTAATGGGTGAGCCGAAATCTGCCTCACGACGGCCAACAGGAACACAGCCTGAGTTCTTATGTGTGTGTGGCCTCAGATTTAAGGTGGCATTACAGGCTTCATGTCTATCTTTTGAGTGAATGATTTCTCTGGAATGATTATTAACAAGTAAAAATTAAAGATAATATGTAGCATTTATAATTTAGGGGAAAAGTACCCTCAAACAATTTCAGTTATCAACTTGTGATTTATAAAAATTATTCATTTTCTCTATGCACATTGGATTGCAAGTGACCCTCGTGAGCCACATATTCACCCCTCACAGGCTTCATTACATACACACATGTTCAGAGATAACCAGGATTCTAAGACTCTGGGTTTTAGACTCAGCTTTTTAATGCAGGTGCGACCCGGGAAGAACAGGTCTCCACATGAAAGCTCGTTGTGCGTGGCCAACACAAATCAAAGCTGTGTTTCAAGCGCCGCTTCCTCTGGCTTGTGGAAAGTGACCCACAGCTGACGCCGCAGCCCCGTGTCCCTGAGGTCAGGAAGTTTCTGAGAAAAGCTTCCCATCCCTGGCTGATTTTCCATCTCATTCCACAGGATTCTGGGTGTTTTCACTGCAGTACTACGAGACCTTGGATATCCTCGTTCATTAGTGTTTTAAGCTGAAAATGTTAAGACCTGAAGGCTTATATGACCTATTTAAATAAGTTAAACGATACCTCCTGTTGTTGGAATGATTTTTTAAGGTGTCCTTTTAATATGCTGGACCCCTGTGTGTATGTATAGATTAGCATTCGGAGAAGAGCAATAAGGAAATGTGCAGAAATGAAAATATTTGTGAAGTTGCTGGGATTATGAATGGTGTTTTTTCCAATATTTTATGTAATATTGTCACATCATTTTTACAATAAAATTTTGAATGCTCTTATCATCTAAATGATGCTACTCTGTTATTAGAAAGGTAAACTCTTACAGTGAAGGTCTCAAATGCAATGACAAATAGTTTTCAAACCTTAACCCCAGAAGCAAAGCAAACACTTTAGAATCTTACCCTACAGAAGCACGGATTGAAATGCAGTCTAGGCCGGCGCCGCGGCTCACTAGGCTAATCCTCCGCCTTGCAGCGCTGGCACACCGGGTTCTAGTCCCGGTCGGGGCGCCGGATTCTGTCCCGGTTGCCCCTCTTCCAGGCCAGCTCTCTGTTGTGGCCAGGGAGTGCAGTGGAGGATGGCCCAAGTGCTTGGGCCCTGCACCCCATGGGAGACCAGGAGAAGCACCTGGCTCCTGGCTTTGGATCAGTGCGGTGCGCCAGCCGTAGCGCGCTGGCCGCGGTGGCCATTGGAGGGTGAACCAATGGCAAAGGAAGACCTTTCTCTCTGTCTCTCTCTCTCACTGTCCACTCTGCTTGTCAAAAAAACAAACAAATAAAAACAAAAAAAAAATAAAGAAATGCAGTCTCAAGACCAAAAAGGTTAAGCATCCACCTGCCAAGCCAGCATCCCATATGAGCGCAGTTTGGAGTCCTCACTGCTCCACTTGGGATCCAGCTCCCTGCTAATGGATCTGGGAAAGCAGCAAAAGATAGCTCAACTCCTTGGGCCCCTACTACCCTCGTGGGAAACCTGGATGGAGTTCCAGGCTCCTAGCTTCAGCCTGGCCCAGCCCTAGCGGTTGCAGCCATTTAAGGAGTGAACCAGTGAATGGAAGATCTCGGTCTTGTCTCCCTCTCTCTCTCTGTAACTCTGCACTTCAAATAATAAATAAATAAATCTTAAGGGAAAAAAGACTGAAGAGGAAAGACTCAGCTTAAGAGGACTGACTATGGAATAGGATACATCAAAGGGGGCTGGCAAGGTGGCATAGCAGGTAAAGCCGCCACCTGCAGTGCTGGCATCCCATATGGGTGCTGGTTCAAGTCCTGGTTGCTCCAGCTCTCTGCTATGGCCTGGGAAAGCAGTAGAAGATGGCCCAAGTCCTTGGGTCCCTGCACCCGTGTGGGAGATCCAGAAGAAGCTCCTGGCTCCTGGCTTCGGATTGGCACAGCTCCGGCTGTTGTCATTTGGGGAGTGAACCAGCAGATAGAAGACTACTCTCTCTCTCTCTCTCTGCCTCTGCCACTCTGCCTTTCAAATAAATAAATAAATCTTAGGTTCAGATCAATCTCATGAATGCTCTCCTTCACACCTGATCCCAATTTCCGTATCTTTACAAAAGGAGTAATAATAGGATATGCTTCCTTCTGCAGGCACTGTGCTTTCCCCAATGACTATCCTCCATGCTCCCTCCTGCTTCCCTGGGACTCCTCCAGGGACCGAGCCCAGCTCCAGCACCGATCGCAAACACACAGCTTCTTAGGAAGACAGAAAGGCAGAGGAGAAGACTGGCTCCTCTCAGCTCTCAGCTCCTCTCAGCTCTCCTTCTGTTAGGACACCTTGGGTATAGCCAGGGCTCCTTGCTTCCATCTGTCATTTCTACCTGCACCACCCTCTGCCCCGATCCCACTGCTGTCTCTTCTCAGAGCTTGGCAGCGAGGGGCTGGGCTGGTGCCCGAAATTCACAGTGAGGGATCTTGTGGTGGCTGGAGCTGCTGCCATTCCGACAACAGCTTCCTGCAGCTCCACTTCCCATCAGCTAGTTCCTGGGGGGTCCCAGGGAATGTCCTCTGACACCTGTCTCACTGTTTATATAAAATGTCCTTGTTTTTCTTGTCTTGAAAGTCGTGCCCTAGTTTCTCTAATGCATGGAAACCACTTCTCACCCTCCCAACACTCATCATGTCTTTGCCTTAGAATTAAAAAAAAAAAAAACAACTTCTTAAATTGTTTATTTTACCATTCCCCCGCCCCCAACCGGCTTGCTTGCTTGCTTGCTTTTTTTAAGACAGGTACTTTTAAAACTCTTTATTGTTTTTTTTTCCTTTTGTTTGAAAGACAGAGAGACAGAGATCTTCCATCCACTGATTCACTCCCCAAATGCCTACAACATCCAGGGCTGGACCAGGCAGAGCCAGGAACAGCATCCAGTTCTCCTACGTAGGTGGGTGACAGAGATGCATTAACTTGAGCCATCAACTGCTGCAGGATCCAGGATCAGAAGCAGAGCTGGGTCTCAAACCAGGAGCTCTGCTGTCTTATCCCCGGTGCCAAATGCCCGCCCCACCACTCAGGTAGGCACTGGCCCACCACAGAGAAGCACATTTCATTAAGCTCATGTGTGCTTTGGGCATTAACTCATGTGTCACAACCAACTCTGGTAATAATTCTGGGTTTCCTGCAGGTCCATTTTCAAGTAAGCAAATAAGAGGGTACCCTTCATTGGGATATTGAGCTAATATTTTTCCTGAGCTCAGGGCTCAGTAAAGGTCAGCTACCACTGCTATTATTACTTATGACAATATGTTAAAGTCCTAAAAATTGGATGGTTGAGTGAAAGAACCATTGTACAAGAAAAGATTCAATTTTCCATAAATCTGCTAAAAATCCAATTGAAGGTTAAAGTTTGATATAGTTGGTAAAAATGAGAAAGAATCTACGTGTGTAGGAAAAAACAATTTCTACTCATGAAACAGAACATTTCTGTTACCAGATGTGGAGGGTCTTTTCCCTACATGTCAGCAGACACCAGCTCCAGGAAGACACTGTCAGATCCTACAGATTAGGAGCTCAGTCCCTCAAGACCACCCTCGTCCACCCTACTTCAAATGCCAGTCGGCTGGCGTGACCTGTGCCACCCCAGTTGGTTATAAATTGGAGTTCCCATGATCCTTCCTCCTGGGGCTTATGGAAGTTGTCAGTATCAAAATGGAGTCACTTACATCAAAATGGAGCCAGTGGTGGGATCCATTCAAGAATCCCTCAGGGGCCTGAGGTGTGGTACAGTGGGTTACGCCACGGCCTGCAGCACCACCATCCCATATAGATGCCAGTTCAAATCCCAGCTGCTCCACTTCTGATCCAGCTCCCTGCTAATGCACCTGGAAAAGCAGTGGAATATGGTCCCAAGTGCTTGGGCCCCTGCACTCACATGGGAGACCTGCAAGAAGCTCCTGGCTCCTTGTTTTGTCATGGCCTAGCTTTGATCATTGCACCCATTTGGGGAGTGAATCAGCAGATCTCTCTCTCTCTCTCTCCTTCTCTGTCTATAATTCTGTCTTTCAAATAAATAAATCTTAAAAAAAATTCCTAAAACTGTAATATTCCAGATAAGCCACTTGCACAAGGACACTTACCTAATAATGTTAATTCATGAGTTAATGCCAACTCTTACAACAATCCCCAGTAACCAGGGGTCTTTGTTGCAGGACAGAGTTTCCTCGTTGCCCCAACCCTCTTGTATACACCACCCATGGTCCATCATAGCAGGTGTATCCTGAACTGCAAGCCTGAGTCTCTGTGTCAGCAGTTTCAATAATTTGCTAGAGTGGCTGTCAGAACTCAAGGAAAACCCTTACTTACCTTTGCCAATTCATTTGAGCAGCAGAAGAAGAGATGCATGGGGTAAGAGACAGGACGTATTGAGAGGGGTGCAGAGTCTCCACGCCTGCCCTCCCAGCACCTTCTGGGTGTTCAACAACCCAGAAGCTTGTCAAATCTCTTGTTCAGGAGTTTTCATAGAGCTTAATTTCCAGCTTTCCTGGAGGTGGGTGGGTGGGGCTGAAAGTCCCAACCCTTTAATCTTTCACTTGGTTCTTCAGGTGAGAGAACCCATCCTGAGACCATAGGAGTATCCCCCAAAGCCACTGTATTAGTGTAAACTCTGGTGTTATCAAAGGCACTGATGACCATGAGAGAAGTCACTCTTTGCTGTAGGGGTTAAGACAGTGAGGACTTCCCTTGGGATGCCTACATCTCCTCTCAGTGTCTGGGCTGCAGTATCTGCTCTGCTTCCTACCCCAGCTCCCTGCCAGCGCACCTCTGGGGAGGCAGCAGGTGACAGCTCAAGAAGCTGGGTGCCCGGCATCCACACAGGAGACTCAGACTGAGTTCCCTCACTAGCTTCCTCCTGGCCTGTCATGGCTGCTGTGGGCTTTTGAGGAGTGAATCAATGCATGGGAGATCACCCCTACCCACTCCCCCCTCTTTGTATGTGTGTGTCTTTCATACAAATTTAATAAGTAAACAAGTATTTTTTTTTAAAGAAAGGACTCATTATAAATAACAAAAGACACTCTTATCACACAGGAAAGCCCAAGGATTTTAAAAGCTCTATGACAGGAACCAGGAACAAAGACAAACATATTTCATACTATACCACAGTATATGCATCAAGGTCTGAGTTACAAAGGGAAATTCAAGTTGACCTACACATTTTTAAGGTCAAATTTATTGAAGTATAATTTAAATACAGTAAAATTCACTCTTTTTAGCTGTGTAGTTATAAGTTTTAACAAATGTATAAAGGGGCCGGTGCTGTGGCATAGCTGTAAAGCCGCCGCCTGCAGTGCCTGCATCCCATATGGGCACTGGTTCGAGTCCCGGCTGCTCCACTTCCAATCCAGCTCTCTGGTATGGCCTGGTAAAGCAGTAGAAGAGGGCCCAAGCCCTTGGGCCACTGCACCCACTTGGGAGACCCGGAAGACTCTCCTGGCTCCTGGCTTCAGATCAGCACAGCTCCGGCTGTTGCGGGATTGGGGAGTGGACCAGCAGATGGAAGACCTCTCTCTCTCTCTGCCTCTCTGTGTAACTCTTTCAAATAAATAAATAAATCTTAAAAAAAAATGTATACAAGGCCGGTGCCATGGCTCACTAGGCTAATCCTCCGCTTTGCGGCGCCGGCACACTGGGTTCTAGTCCCGGTCGGGGCGCCGGATTCTGTCCCGGTTGCCCCTCTTCCAGGCCAGCTGTGTGCAGTGGAGGATGGCCCAAGTCCTTGGGCCCTGCACCCCAGGGAGACCAGGATAAGTACCTGGCTCCTGCCATCGGATCAGTGCAGTGCACCAGCCGCAGCGCACCAGCCGCGGCGGCCATTGGAGGGTGAACCAACGGCAAAGGAAGACCTTTCTCTCTCTGTCTCTCTCTCTCACTGTCCACTCTGCCTGTCAGAAAAAAAAATGTATACAATAGTCTCCGCTTATCAATGGATACAAGCTTCAAGACCTGTACTCGATGCCTGAAAGTGCTTAACTCTTTATGTACTATATTTTTTCTATACTTACATATCCATGATAAAGTTTGATGTATAAATCAAACAGTAAGAGATTAGCAATTATAAAATAGACCAATTATAATATAGTATAATAAAGTTACGTGAATGTGGCCTGTCTCAAACTATAATACTGTATTCACCCTTCTCTTTGTGACAAGGTGAATGATGTAGGTACTAGGTAGTGTTTACTTGAACAAAAATACTGTAATACTAGGACAGATCATTTGATACCCCGGATGGCTACCAAGCAAATAATGGGCAGGCAGCCTAATGGATGAATCATATCCTGGGCAAGATGGAACATGCTGGCAAGTGATTGCATACTGCTTCTTTAAAAGATGTTCAATTTAAAATTTATTTGAGAGACAGAGAGAGTACCTATTGACAGGCTCACTTTTCAAATGCCTGAGATGGCAGCTCCAAGTCAGGAGCTCAGAACTCAATTCAGATCTCCCATAT